ACACCTTTCTCGGCAGCTTTCCTTTCGAAACGCCAGCTGTAAGTATCGCTTGAATGTCATGGTTTCGGCAGTGAATGGACAACAGAAGACAATTTTAAACTTGAGACTAAAGGGCAAAATACAATGCTGATAAACGTTGCAGTGGGAAGGGGTATTTTATTTGTTTTGCCCTTTTATTTGTCTTTCCAATCTAATATTTCAGAATTTCCTTATAAACACAGGTAAATGAAGCTTACGGTTGCAATAACTGATTTATTATTAATATTAAGTTTGTTTACCTTTTGTGTCAGAAAACAGTTTTCCATCTCCCCAACTGTGTGGACCTGTTACACAGCAGCAGAGGTGGAAAGTACTGTTAAAAAGAGTATCCGTAACTGTAGCCACACCACCAAACAAAAGGCAGATGTAGCATCCACCACTGCATATGCTCTCTTCAGCTAATTAGGTCAGACTGCCCAGGTCAGTTTAATGCTGGAGTTACTTAATAAACAACCAGTGACTCCATGATGACATGGAATCTGTATTTAGACATACTGTCAGAGAGGGAGGTTTGTGTTTTTTGTTTTTTGTTTTTTTTTTTTTGTAACAGTGCTGCATACATAAAAAGATTTCAGAATTAATTTCATCATTGTTTGGAGTTCAATGCAGTCACACTGAGTTGGGGAATCCTAAAGGGAAATGACACCTTGTTTAAAGGCGTGCAAGTGATTGTCTAATCTCATCTGCTTAATCTCATTGTAGACAGAAAGCAGGCAAATATTGCCATAGAAATAAGATTTATGAAATCAAAATGTCTTGAAAAGAAAAAAAAAATGTTCTTTCAAAAAATGCCAGCAGAATCTGAAGGAATTGTACTGTACAGATACTATCACAAAGAAGTAACTGTGGGAACGCTTCTCTATCTTCTTCAGAAGCCCTACTTTTTGGAGGCCGTGGGTGCTCACAGCAAGAGACAGTGAGAAGACAGAGAATCAACGAATGGTGAGACTAAATTCTGGAGAAAATAATCCTTACAGAAAACAGGTGCAGAAACTGAAACTATTTGAACACAGGAAATGAGGCTTGGTCATCTGTTCATTTGCTCTTTCAAGCATTTCTTCAGTGTGAGAAAGTACAGTTCAAAACACAGTGTTCTGCACATGATAACAGTTAAGAGTATCTCTAATTTTCTGTCAGGTGTCGAATGACAGTCAATTTGTGAAGAACTGCAGAAAGCACTGCTTGCTCAAAACAACCCTAATTTAACAGCAGGTTTTGTTTGCTTAATTTTAAAAATAAGAATATCCTCAGTTCAAAATTTCCAGGCCTAGTCTGTATGTGATATTTTGTATATAGGGGGATTTTGAGTGAAAATGACTTTAAGATGAAATTTAAAAAGCATAGTTTTGGGTGCACAATTTTATTGACTTTTTTTTGGGAGGGGTGTTACTGTAGCTAAATCATCTAGGAAATCAATAGAAAATTGATTTTTGAAGTAGCTCTTGCTGCCAAGTGCCTTTGAAAGGCACCATGATTATTAGTTTTACTTGTGTAGGAAAATTCGTTAGGATCAAAGAACAAAACTAAAGAGAGATCGAAGCATATTCAGCGTCTTGATGCTGTGAACTTTTAAAAATGTATTGAAATGGTGCTACTCCCATGATTAGTTTTAAGCACCTGCGTAAGTTTTTGCACCATCTGATCCATAATCACAACTTCAGCTTTTTACCAAAGGCTCAGCAGGTTAAGACAACAAGTCTCCTTAGTGAAAGTTTTTAAAAGCTCATGATTTCTACTATATTCTAACATGTGCAACACCTTTTTGCCTCGTACGTTTTGTCTGCTGGTAGTGGAGGTTGTAACTGCACAGATCTAAGGGAGTGCCACGCTCCTCCTGGCAGGCACCTCAGGAAAGCCTGCGGAAGAATGTCCTTCTCAGAAGTGTTCCAGGTTTTTCCAGAGGCACCTGTAAATTTGCTAAGGATGAGAGGAGTCTTACTCTCTTTCTTATGACAGTAGCTGCTTACAGCGCTAATTTCAAGAAAGTAAGGTTTCTGAAATCAACAACTTGTGATTTGTTACTGAAGTTATGTTTTTTCAGAAAATTTTATTCAGCCAGCTCAATAATTTTAATTCACACTAGAGTTTTTGCCCACTTGTGTGAGAAAAACAAACAATATATTAAGTTTTCCAGTCATGCTAGCAGCCTGGCATTGTTTCAAGCCCAGTGTAACTGAAACAGTTGGTTTCAGTTTTTTAACATTTCTCCTTCCTACCAGAAGCTTCTCAGGTCCTTCTCATCCATACTTAGCCCACCCATAGTGCTTCAGCATACAAGATGTCTCTGTAGTTTGGGACCTAATGAGAGCTGAAGGAGGGCTGTAGGAGGGAGGCCTTTCATATGCTTTTTAGCAGGGTCACAACAACTGAGGAAAGATACTTGGATACTTTGTGTGGTGCACAGGTGGGAAGAGGTGCTCACTAATGCACACCTACATCCCACAGCTGTGGAAGCCAAGAGGTGTCATCTCCAGCAGATTTACTGAGGTTTCCAGCAGAAGAGTTTCCAAGATGGAGACGGATTGAGCACAGTGCTTTTGCTAGTTAATTGCATGCTGGCTACATTTATTTTCTGCAGTGTATACATACAAATGCCAACACTTTACAGATCAGTAGACACTCCAAACCCTAGAGAGTCAAGCGAATAAAATTTCAATATCCTCTCTGTAATTTAAAAAAACCCCCAACAGTATATGAATATACATATAAGAATCTAACCAGAGAAACTGAGGATGCTGAGCAAAGCTCCGGAAAAAAAAAAAAGTACTAGCAAAAAAAAAAATTAATGTAATAATTTTACCTCTATTGCCAAGAACACATGTTAAATGCTGTATTATAGTCTGAAAAGAAGAAGCATATAATGTACATTTAGTCAATATATATTATTAGATATACCATTATTTTAAAATAATATGTATTCAAAAGAGAAGACAATAGAAAATACAGGTCAGTAAAGATGAAAGAAGACTATTTTTATTTTAATGTAAATATGGAAGGAGAAAAATTACATATGGTATTTAACACAGATACTATGATCACATTGCAACATTCAGCCAGATCAGGAGTTTATTTCACTAGGTACTGTGGGAAAAAAGTAAATGAGTCTCCTTATTAAACACAAAAAAACCCTCAACAAATCCCTAACAGCATGAAGACAAATAATTTTGTCTACAAGGCAAACAAGTGGATATGAGAGAAATAGGCCAGCTTAAAAAGTATAGAGAGAAATCTGTAGGACTCCTTGCTCGGATCATAGCCCAAAAGCTTTTTGGGGGCCACAAAAAATATTTGTGCTGAAGCCTACTTCCTCAAAAAGATAAGATTAATTGCTGTGACAGTGGCAAAAGTCATCTTTGTCTGTTTATATCAGAGGGGATGGTTTCTAGATTCTGTTCATTAGAAATTCTGGTATAAAGCTAGATCTTGCAGTTTTATGCAACATCAAGTTTATAGCAATAGGAGGAAAAAAGCTTTGTTTTAAGATATGGAAGAGTATACAACCCTACAAGACAAAGTGATAGGGCTCAATGATTTTATGAGATGCTTTCAGTTTACATTCCAGGTTTATAATCCTAATAAGATTTAGTCATGTTAAAATTTGAAAATTTTTGGAGTTTATTATGACCTTAATTTGAAGAAATTTACTGAATTTAATTTTTATATTTAAAATATATATTTTTGCTACCTACTGTGTTGTATCTGCAAGCTTGAACGTTCTGACTCCAAACTAACAGTTAGTGTAGTTAAAGAGGTATTTTATAAAACCCTAACCCCTCAATCCTTTAAAATAATTGAAAATCCTTTTTTCTTCCAAACATTGAGCTTCCATTTGACAGTGTTATTAGCTCACCAGTTGCTATAGATATTTTGTAAGAACTTCAGGAAAATGTACAAGTTCATGGCTTTGTGGCTCATAAAATGTACAAGTTCAAGTGCCTTGTTAAATGTGCAGCTATAGGCAGGCTCTGGGCACATATATTCTCTGAAGTACATGTAGAGTAAAACAACATGCAGCAAAGGAAACAGAGCAATGTTCCTGCAGAATTTTACACTTATCTCTAGAAGAAAAAAGTGAAATCTCAATTTTTAGCCTATTCTAAATAATAAATCTGTCTCTTTACAGTCAGAACTGGATAGTCACCAAATACATTTTAGATCAAAAGGAGCCCTGGGGTTTCAACATCCTGTAAGGTAAGTTAAACCTATCACTTGATACAGGAAGAGTGACACCTTTCAAGACAAGACATATTCCTTCTCAGTAGAAGTATCAGTTTGTCTCTGGATTATCTCTTTTTAGTAATGCAATTTAACTACTCACCAGATTCCATATGTTTTTATTCCTCCACCAGGAAATATGCCCAGGCTGAACACAGCCTGAAAAAATATGGTAATAACAAAAATAAGGAAAAAGTGATCTTGAAAGAAACAATATTCTTCTGTCTCATCTAATTTATATTTAAATTTATTAGTATGATGACAAGCCCACAAAGCTCAAATAATAACATGAAGAGCTGCTAGTGGAATAGGACTTGTTACAGATCTGTGTCTTGACCTTGCTTAAATTTGCTCTTGCATAAAAGCTGAACTACAGGTAAAGCTTTTCCTATATGTGGGGGGTTTATACACGTTTTCACGAAGACTTGGATTCTTTCAGGTTTAATGATGTAGAAATTCCTGATTTGGATTTAATTTAGAGGAGGAAAATTAATGGAACATCCCTCTTCTTCACAAGCACTTGTTCTTATAAAAATTTTAGAAGCTTAAATTCTGTGTGATCTTTATCACTGTCAAATTTAAATGAAAACTGTCCAAAGCAGAACCAAGAGGAAGAGATGTACATACATATGCACACAAAAACATCTATGCTTACAGAACACATAAGCTTTGCTCTAAGTGAGACAGCTGGTGAAAACCTGAAATGTAAATCAAGACGTTTATGATTTCAATATAAAACAATATGAATTTTTACATAAATCTCTCTCAGTGCACACCTCCTCCTCTGTCTGGAGGCATAAAATCCACTAAAGTCAACCTCCACGCAACAGGCAACCCATCCCAATTTTAAACCTGTGTCTTAATCTTAATTCCAGAATTGCAGAATATTCCACAAACTTCCCCCAGTCACATAGGATACTCCCATTCTGAACTGTGCTAAAATGCAAACCAAAACACCTCAAGTACCTATCATTGCCCTGGCAACACTTTATCAGGGTGGGAACTTAGGTAAATCCAATACATAATATGACCAAAGCAACTGAGGTAACTTAAAATCATCAGCAACTGCCATTTTAAAAGACAAGTAAACCTAGGATTTTTCTCTCTCCAGAGGAAAAAAAAAACAGGTTTTAAAAATCAAGCTAATTCTGCTGGAAAAGTATCAAATAGTTTTACTTTTTCTCTTAAAATATGTTTTCTTATTAGACTTTATTTGCCCAAGTCCAAATCCCAAAAGTTTCTTCGTAACATCGGAGAGAAGGTTCTGGCAAGTTTTCCAGTACAAGCTACAATTCACTTCTACAACGATGACACCAACTCTGAGGAAGATGAAGAAGAATTCAGTTCAGCCTAATAATGAACAGTGGTCAGCCTTGACAAACACAAAATAAAAATTAAAAAATCAAGAGATAAAAAAAGAACTGTCAGAAATGTACGGACCAACATCTGACCAAACAAAGAAATACATCAAAGCTCAAAAGAAAACTATTTATAACTATCCTACCAAGAAGACTCAGACAATGCAACTGGAAACTAAGAGGAAATACTTTTGGTTTTTGACAGCTTTAAATAAAACCCTGAAAAAAAAGATTATGATGTTTAAATCAAATTTGGTTAAAGTAACACAGATTAAGAACTTTAAGAGTACTGTAGTTAGTTACTATTTTTTACACTGCAGTCCTGATAAAATGAAAATAGGATTTGTTCTGAGGCAATATAATATAATGTACAGCCCCCAAATAACCAGAAGGCTTTAAAGTACAGTTTGAATTTATGCAAGAAATTATTGAAAATGGAAAACTATTGCATATTAGCTCCATGGGGCATGTTTATTCTGTTATAAATGCCATATGCTAAACTGACCTAATACATTTCCAGTATAAACCCCTGTCAAGACAAGTTCTAAATGACAGTTGTGGTATTTTCTGGGGTCCTTGTCATTCTGTTATTATCAGATTTCCCCAGTGTAATCAGAAAAGTGCCTTTTTGTCAGTCACACAAGAAGTCAGCCTTGATTAAAAACTATGTTTTAATTAAATGACACATTAAAACATGTTTTTTGTTCTACCTTTTTTACTTCATCACAGTATTCAAATCGTATTTCTATAGCATAATGCACTTGAATCCATGATTTTAATATAGCTGACCCGCTGGTGATTCCCATCTAGTGGATGTGTATCTTACTACCTTGACATTTCTCTTAAATTGGTGTTCAGGAAGACTTAAGTTACCAATTTTCATAAGCATCTTTCTGTTATGAAATATGTCCATTAAAAATATTCCTAAATAGAAAAGAGGAACAGTTTTAGACAAATGCTGGAGGTATGGATATCCCAGACAAGTGGCCACTGAATAAATGCAGATTGACTATGCAGAATGTGAGCCATAAGTACTCTGTATCCTAGAAAAATGTGTTCATACTTGACATGAATGCAATACAGAGAGAGAGGGGGGGAATGATCGAGGGTATAGATTACACAAACGAGAAACCAGAACTTTTCAGCCTGCAAGGCATGACTGAGTATATAAACATAGTCTTTAACATCTTGAGTGGCTTGGAGATGGTGGAGAATGATTGAACATCAAATGAAAATAGTGAGCAGTGAGTTTGAAACAAAAGGAAGCACTTCACCTGTGACTACACTGTGGTGTTGTTGAAGCTAAGTTACCTACTTACAAAAAGTAAGTGAAAGATTTCTGTAAGAAAAACACAAAGATACAACATGTGGCTCAGAATGTTCACATTGTGTCAAGCTGGGGAAGCATTCTAGGGAAATATTACCAGCTTCTTGCCCAAATTGTTGCTCTTACCATTATAGTGGGCACCATTACCCTGTGTGGGAGGCAGGATATGAGCTATATTTATCCTTCATCTCCCATGAAAGAGCTATTTTCATATTTGTAAATGGGCTACATCCTGGATGCATCAGATGTAGATTTAATGACACAAGCAAGTGCTGTCACAAACCAACACTTCTGGAACAGAAGAAAGGTATCTTGAGAAGTGTGTTCTTCAAGACAGTAAAACAGACACTGTTATTAGGAAAATACAACTGGATAATGGATGACAGTCTGACCAAAGGCTGTAAGAAATATCAAAAAAAATAATCTTGCACATCTATTGACAACATTGTATTGGCCTAAACTTACTCAGTTTCTGTCTCTGCCACACATTCCATTTGGTTTTCCCTGTACCGTCAAATACCTTTTCCAAATTAAGGTAATATTACCGTACTACTTGCCTGATTTGCAATATTTTAACTACAGTCACTAGAGAAAGATAAAACTGTATTATCCTTTTCCTGTCAAGCCAAGTTTGTTTTTTCTTTTTTGAATAACTGACTGTATTTTCATACTACAATGTCAACATACTCTCATTTGCACACTTAAGTAAAATACGCATTGCGATGCCCCACCAGTTTGTTAATAATTGAAAGAAGACTAAAAGTGAACTAATACAGGATCTCTGTTATTCAGCTGCAGTTAACTTTCAGTTTTCAGTTCTCGTTTTTTACTCATCTGTCAGATGACCTTGCAAAGTTTTCAGCAACCTTAGCATCATCCATCATTTACAGGAAAAAGATAACAAAGCATTCCCAAATAATGAGCTTGCTACTTCAAAGACGATAGAACACATAGTATTTTACAGATTAAATTGTTGGCTCAGGATTTCCTGAAGTTCCACAGAACTTCCCTTAGTAATTCAACAGCTGCAGCATTTCCAGAAAATGCTACCTTTTGATTTCCATTGTCTAAAATTATCATAGCAGAAGACAAGTTAATGTTCCACTGGTACATAAATGCTGGAGAGGTATCCAGACAACATATACAATTTTATATTTTGTATTATATTTTTATTCAGATGAAAAATCAAAATTAAATTATGTTCATAAAACAGTCTTGAATTATTTTAAAGCAAGCTCTTGAAAGACACCTATATCTAAGGGTAGCATATCCTTGAATGACATTAAACTTTGTGTGTTCTTTTCAAATACGGTGCAGAAATAATTTGGATTAAGAGAAAAAGAACTATCAACGGAACCATTTTTTTTTCTAAGCTACATTTATACTGAGAGAATGACACTTATACAACTGAGAAAAGGCAATCTGCACAACAGTGGTTTTATGAGCTCTAGAGAAAAAATCCATCCAATTCACTGAAACATCCACCATTTAATTACACTCCACATAATCATGATTTCCAGACTGGGTTAATCTATCAGCTGCTTTTAGAAAAAAGCTGAGAATTAAGTTGATACATAAACTGCACAGCCTACCAAGAGAATTTACTTTGGCAGTCTCTTGGCAAGGAAGCCGTCAGAACAAGACTAAATGCTTCCAGAACTTTCTCCTCAGAATATGGTTCAAATCATGAACAGAGAGAGAGAGATACAAAAGACCCCATTCACCTGTTTCTTTTAGAAATGGCTGGAAATCTAACAGTACAGCAGCAAACAGGACTTTGCATTAAACATTTTAGCCAATCAACTCAAGTGCCCATGGAAAAGGTGTAATATGGAACCAAATACCTTTAGACAAAATCATTTATTAACTATTCTGTTTGTAAGTCAGAAGTACTTTATCATTTACAACCACAAATTAAATTGAAATCCATGGAAACTGCCTGGTGAAGAAATCAAGTATTCGAAAAGTCTTTTTCAAAAGAGCTTTAGTGGTGAGTTTTCATTGTCTCTATAAGACCAGAATCCAACGTATCTTCCCTTTTAAAATCAGTTCCATGACTCTCCGTTCCCAAAGTTTCTTTCAGTACTTCTCAACCTCAACCTCCTAAACACACCATCTGTGTTGTTACTACCCTTCCCATTACAGCTAAGGTGAAAGAAATAGAAGAGAGACACAGTCAAGCACCACACAAATTTGCCAATCAGAGCTCTATTATAATTTCCTTTGGCATACAACCTTTTCATCTGAAACAGTGCACCTTTGGATTTTTGTTTGTGACAGGTTTACATACACATTCATTCAAATACTATTTGGGGGGAACCTGTCTTACAACACTACATGTATAGCAAGATATGAAAAATACCATCAGTCTCCGGTATGACAAAAATTGCAGAAGAATCCTAGAAAGTGCATTAAAAAGCAAGCCAGAAGTTTCATCACTTGGTTTATTTCAGCAGGGACAATGCAGTTGGTCTAACTCTGCTGGTTATTACTGGTTGTGCTAGAACAATATGCAATCAAGTTAGAAGGGTGAAAATGGGGACAAATTTAGGTTTTTATTTATTTATGTTTTCCTTAGTCTCTGAGAAGAATGGACACCTGATATTCAGTCTTTGAATAGGTATGTTTTGTAAAGAAAGGTACTCCTAGCAACACAGCCCAATCTTTTTTTTTTTTTTTCTTAATAATATCTAAGGCAAAAGCTATACAAATACCACTAAATAACTGTTGCTACAAGTGTGCTGTATATTTAAAAAAGACAGAATCTCTCTTCTGTTTGCTGGCAGAGTTGCTTATCTTTTCCTTAATCAGTCACAGGCAAGACTATGAAATGATGGATCCCAAACGCCTGCACTTCTCTACAATATATTTATTGTATACAGTGTTACCTGATTTTATTTTGATCACTGAGGCAACTTCAGAGGTGTGGAACATTACTCCCAAGTTGAAGAAAAGGTCACTACAGTGTCTTTGAAGCACTGCTACACAGCAGTGACAGAAAAGCAAAGATTGAGTTTCATGCCTGCAAGTTTTACTTAAACAAATGGCCCCAGTTTGCCTGCTCACTTAGGTGCCTCTGTTAGTTTTCCCATAATTGTGAGGTCTGCAGTTAAATGAAATGGCAGATTCATCACTGATACAATCTTTGTCCAAGGTTTACAGTCCTTTAATTTGTGTGCTTTCAGGACTTGAGGGTGTTTTCCAGTAGCTTTTCTTATCCTGGAGGGATTTGGGTATCCTTAACAGGAGACTAAATTAATCCTTACATCAAATTATCCCAGAAATCTGGCCTTCACTTGTTGTCAATCTAGAATTAAAAATTAAATTACTTTCTCAGAAAGCAAAAGGAACGTAGAATGCAGGTAGAAATTACAGAGGAAAAAAGAATACAGTCAATACTTCAGCATCTACAATGCGATTAGGGAATTGACAAAAAGGTAAATACATCTTCATGTCTGTTCATCATAAAATCTTGAACTCACCCTGTGCATGGGTGTTTGAGCACATAAATGAAAATTAATAGGAGGGCAAAGTTGTAGTGGGAGGGGGAGACAGCAACTGGCAGCAAGCTAAAAAGAAAGCCTTCACAAAGAAATCTACAACTATCAGAGAAATAAACACTGTGGTAATTTACAGTCACTAGGCTTGGGTACAAATACTCATTCTTATGAAATGTCCCCAAACAACATACCTAAAATCTACTATTTCAGAGTGAAATCTTGAGAAGCATTTTTCTCCTACCCATAATAACTAGCATGTTTTTGCCTTCAATGGATGGAAAAAAAATAGCAAACTACTAAAGACTAGAGGACTAAGAAACAAAAAATTTTGTATTCATACCAGATTGTTGGCAAGTCTTAAGGCTTCTCATGGCAACTGATGGTTGTTGCCTTCAATTTCTTACTGGTGTAAGATTCTTTCCATAAATTTTTAGAAATGTCTTATTGTCTTAAGGAAATAGTGACGTTTCTAACTAAATTCTCTGCTGGTCAGAAGTTGGCTTGCAGGCTTAACAAACAATAATGAGGGTTATTCACTGGCCTTTATAACCAAACTAAATAACTATGACTGCTGAAGATAAATGGGTTTGTGACGCTTGGGAGAAAGGAAATAAACATCATTTATAAACAACTCTGTTCAGTAATGCATTCATGAAAGAAGATTCACTGTTCAAGAAACTTCTGAACCACTGCTGTAATAAGTTACTCGGCTTTGTGCTTGTCAAAGTCTGGGGCTTTGGACAGGGCTGTCCACTAGACCTGTAACAGATGCTCTGTTAATCCCTCTCCCCACCCTGAAAGGGGAAGAAAAAGGGAATAAGGGAGAGAGACTTACAGTTTGGAAAAATAAAACAGCTTATTAAAATAGTAATAATGAAATGAAATATGTGAATATATACAAACCCAGTACCTAACCCAGCCCCCTGATTTCAATTACATCTCTGTCACCACTGAAGCTGTGGAAGATACCCTGGGGAAGTCCCAGACTGTATTCAGCAGGTTTTTTTTAGTGGATTCAGGAACACATAGAGGCTTGACAAGGCCAAGTGTCGGGCCCTGTACTTGTGTCACAGCCACCCTGGGCAATGCTACAGGGTTGGGGAAGAGATGCTGGAAAGCTGCCTGGCAGAAAAGGACCTGGGGTTGCTGGTGGACAGCTGTCTGAACATGAGCCAACAGTGTGCCCAGGTGGCCAAGAGCATCCTGGTTTGTATCACAAATATCCAGCAGGACTAAGAAAGTGGTTGTGCCCCTACAGTCAGCACTGGTGAGGCCACAGCTTGAGTACTGGGCTCAGTTTTGGGCACCACCATATAAAAAAGACATTGAGGTGCAGGAGCAGGTCCAGAGAAGGGCAATGAAGCTGGTGAGAGGTCTGGGTAACATGTCTTATGAATAGCAGCTGAGGGAACTGGGATTGTTTAGCCTGAAGAAGAGGCTGAGGAGAGACCTTATTGCTCTCTACAACTACCTGAAAGGAGGTTGTAGTGAGGTGGGTGTTGGTCTCTTCTCCCAATGAACTAGTAATAAGACAAGCGGAAATGAGCTTAGGTTGTGCCAGGAGAGGCTTAGATTGGATATTAGGATGAATTTCTGTGCTGAGAGTAGTGAGGCATCAGAACAGACTGCTCAGGGAGGTGGTGGAGTCATCATCACTGGAGGTGTTCAACAAACGTGTAGACTTCGCCCTTTGGGACATGGTTTAGTGGTCAGGGTGATGCTAAGTGATGGCTGGACTTGATGATATTGAAGGTCTTTTTCAGCCTTCATGATTCTATGATTCGACAAAGGCAGAATGGACAGAGTCCTCCTTGGACACTGGCCATTGAAGACAAAAGCTTAACCCTCATGGTCCCCCAGCTTTACACTGAACATGTCGTACATGGGATGGAATACCTTGTTGGTCAGTTTAGGGTCCCCTGTCCTGGCTGCTCCTCCTTGCAGGTGCAGCCTTTTACTTTCTGCACCCACAACATAGCACACAAGATTTAGCAGTGACCTTCGTCTGCTAAGTATAAGCAAGATATAAGCAAGAGCCTTTCTGCACACCAGTTCTTGGTAGTAACTCCAAACACCAAGTGTTATCACTTCTAGAAGCAGACACTGTCTGTGAAAATCTGCCATTACCTTCAGAAAGTGCAGTTAGTTAGAAGACACTTAGCTAAAAAGTAAAAGACAAAATTAGTTTAGTTCAAACTCAGACCAGGACAGTGCTATAACCTAGACTAAATAAAATGGACCTTTTGGTTCCTGCATATCCAGAAACTGCCTCACACCTAGTTTTCGGTATTCTTAAGAATACTGAAAAGTAATTTCAAGATTTCTTTCAGAAAATCTTCACAACTGGTAATCTGGGTATTTCTATAAGCCCATGAATTTTGGGGTGGGGGGGAGAAGGGGGGAATCAACCTATTTTGCTGAGTAAAGAACTGTGTAAAGAAAAATGGACTACTATACACCTTTACCCAGCACAAATATCACAGAACCACAGAAAAATGTCCAACAAGTGAAAATTAGTTACATTTTATTAATATTTAAAAATGAAAACTGTGTATTTACAGTGTAAACACTTCAAATTAACATACCATATTGAGAAAAAAATCCTCAAACATTTGACTAGAGGAACACATTTTCTTTCCCTGAATTCAAAGGGAAATAGACTTGAGCTATGTCGAAAAGCTCTCTCTTTCACTCTCAGTGGAAAATTACAAGCAGAAATCTACAAGTAAGAGATTGCTATTTTAAACTCACAAGAATGATGAGATAAATTCATGTGGCATAACTCTCATACCAATGCAGGTTATTAATAATAAAATCAAGCCATCTCAATGAAATGTGCTAACATAAATTTAATTAAAAACTCAGAGAAGAAACAAACCAACTTTGTTCTACAAGCAGAAAGAGTTTGGGTTTTTTTTAGTTTGGAGAAGTTTTGATTTTCCTTATGTAACAGCTCTATTAATCCTTTTTTCAAACAGATCTTAATAATGACTATCTGCTATTGCAGATTCTGTTTTCAGGAAGGAAAAACATTCTGTTCACTTCACTGATGGGAATATCCCTCAATGCTGGAATTGCTTCTTCCTGAAATTTCTTCTGTCGCTGCTTTTTTGCATAGTTATCTACAGGAGACAATGAGAACATTTCACATATTAAATGTTTTTTCTTTCAAGAAATATGTAATGCAATACTGTATAAATTTAGCTGCTGTAAGTGATGCTGAAAACTCTGTCTTTCTGAGGTATAATGAGATGGTCATCAGAAATGCTTTACATCAGCTTATACTAGCAGAGCCTCTGAAGAAATCAACCCTACTAGTGGTAGGGCTTCACCTCGCAGTGAAATCACTGCACAACTTTGCTTCATTTAAGATGCTCTATGATATTAAACTGCAAGTAGCCAAAGATAAAGAGAGCAAACAAACCAACAAGTAATCCTAGTCTGTAGTTTGAACACTTTGTTTTGGGATTTCTGCTGAGAGACGCTTTCCACCTTCCCTTCAGCTTGGCTGCGTGTTCCCATCACCACACAGCAGCCATTCTTATAACAGCACAAACATTTCTACAGGTGCCCTTTGAACACAATTATGGAACTGCTCCCTCTGGAGAAAAAAAAATTCAATATAGTTGTTTTTCAAACAGAGTGGCTCCCTCATCCCACTTGTCATATGGCCACACAAACTCTTGGATTGACATTAAAGAGAGGGTGACATGAAAGCGTGAGTGGCCAGGAGCAGAGGGATGACTAAATGGCAGTTCTTGACAGAAGCATTAGAACTACAGCCTTGACTGATTTTTTTCCTTAGCAGTTCAGTGCAATGTAATCCTATGTACATAGCTGAAGCAATCCAACTTCAGCTGTCTTAGCAACAGGCAACTCTTTTGCCAGATTTTGTAGTCTGCATTTTTTCTGACAGAAGTGGCCATCTCCAAATAGGGATGGAATTCCCCATGTGAAGGAAGATGTACCTGCCTGGACAGTGTTGTCAATGCCTAAAATGTGTCTCCTTGGCAGGAGTGAAGGCTACACAGAAGTTGAGATTCAACACCAAAAGATCCTCCTTTGCATCACCTTGACTCTGAATGCCTTCCCACTTCTGCCCCTTCCAGGTAGGTACTCACACCCTTCTCCCCAGGGCATTCTCCACCAGTCAGCAATGCAAGGTGCATGCCTGGCAGATCTGTACATGCCTAGCCCCTGTTCCTCTGATGTTGTCTGCTTTGCTGACAAAGTATGCCCTACTAGCTGGAAACCACTGCTGTAAGGTGGCGAAGGAGGAAGAATCAGGATCGTAGCTATCTTTTCAATCTAGTACTTCAGTACTTCCAAGAACTCCTTTTCTAGATCAAATTACTTAAAAGCTTAAATTTCATTTATATTATATATGGCTACATAGCTATATTTACAGGAATTGTCAATTAAGTATCAGAATATTTAAAAAAAAAACCAAACAATAAAATTACCTGTAATAGTATGTGTGGAGTTAAGGGGAGCTGTACTCATCATGTTAATACCAAAAAGTAATATATAACCAATTCCTACAGCAACTAGTAGGTATGCTGGCACAGCAACTGCCCAGTATCTGAGGAAAAAAGATTTTAAAATTTAAATATCGTAATAACAAATGCTTAATGATATAACAGTTTTAATGTAGTGGTTGTTATTGTATCTAGCACAAACTTAGGCAAGAGGAAAAGAAATAACATCTCTGAATATGGACCCTGGTGCCTCCCAAGATCACCAACTGCAGAGTAACTGTAGCAAGTTTGGTATAAACCATCTAATAGAATCCTTACAGAAGGTTTTAATTTTTTTAAATAATGGTTTAAAGTTTACTGTATTTTCATTCACAATGTTCCCAGAACCAATATGTCAAACTTATCATAAAACATTCAAATACTATTTCTTTCATTACACAATGAAAAATCTTCATCACAGTTACTTATCTACATAAAAAAAAAAGTGCTTCACAAAGATTACAGTCCTTTATCATCAGGAAAAACAGGATTAAATACAAGGCAACTATTTTTAAAGAGTTTTGAAAATAATTAATGGTGTCCTATACTTACACATATTCAAGCTAAAGTGTCTACCTGGTTGAACTTACTTTTGAGGCCAGTATGTTAGTCCCAGTGAGAACAGCCACGTCTCGGGAACATATGCCCAAATAAGATATAACACTGCACAAAAGAATTAAGAAATCATGATAGTACAACCGATACTGTTTTAGTCTTCCTAAGTTTTATAGCAATACTTCTCTGCTGATACAAGCTGAGACAAATGATTACACAGAGGGTCATCTGTTTGAAAGAAAAGCTGGTACAATTGCAGTGCTTGGATGGAACTATTCAGAAAAGGTTACTGGCAATAATTTCTGATTCTTGGCACATTAATAATTTTCATGTCAACAAAACAAATACTGAGAAATTTTGCTCTCCAACTACAAAACTTGAGGGGAACAGGTTAGTAGTCAGACAGTGACACAAATTACACAACTGCAGTGGCTTCCTAAGAGAGGAACAGAGACCAAATTAATTTCTACTTAACTTCCCAAGGTTGAGAAAGGCACGCAGTATGATCCTGGTTTATTATTTGCCTACAGTATATTTGTTTTCCTTGTGTTAAAAATATCCTCTCACCCTCTCAAGCTCTGGACCTGTGTGGGCACGCAAGAGATTCCCAGAGAAATGATAAAGCACCTCCCACACCAGCAAAAGAATACTGGTGTAATCCTAATAATTTTCAATTGCTGTTGACTCGATAATTTTTTTTTTTTTCCCAGTATTTGGGTGGGGAAGGTTGCTCTACTAGTACCTACAATGGTTACCAAATAGTGATGGAATCACTATGGATGGAATCTTGATGACGTTTTTCAAGTAAAAAACTTACTAAAATGAGAACGCATAGAATTTTTAAAGTAATTTGACTGCATACTATGATAAGATCCCATAATAAGGTTAAAGACACAAAACCCCCACGGAAATCACAAAAGACAATGACAGGTCTTTGTAACAACTGACAGGCCTGGCAAGTAATGGACGTGCACTTAGTCCTTCATGACTCATGCCTACAAAAAGCGGTTTAGTACAGTTCTGACCCCTTCCAGAGGGCCCCAGCGGCGCTGCACTTGTCTCGCAAGCAGAGCAACACTTTCCGGTGCACTACTAGGTAGCCGGTATACTTACTAAAGCCAAACCACGATCCTAAAAAGAGAGCAAATCCATATATTGCCCTTTCTGGCAACGGGGCTGGAGAGTTTTCAACCATACCGGTCTTACCGGTCTTTTCCCTTTAACCTCGGGGGGAACACGGCAAGAAGCCCTTCGAGCTTTCCCGGCAGGTTCCTGCGGGAACAGCCCCGGGACGAGCGGGAAGGGGGCGGGGGGTGAAAGGTC